CTCTTTCTACAGCTAAGTATTGCAAGAATTGTCAATGATTCGCAGCAGCGCCGTGGGGTAAACATCTGTTTCTTTTAAATTTATAATGCTTCAGTTGAAAATATTGAAAATCTGAGGGAGGGCGAGAGCACGGTTTGCACTCCAGCAGCAGCTGGCGGTGCTGCGGGATGCCCGTGCGGCCGCGGCCGTGGCAGGCGGCTGCTCTGGCTACCAGCGAGCCTCCTCGTCACTGAGAGCAGCCCCAATTAAAGCCTCCAGCCTAACCGCTTTAGTTAAAACTAAATTAAAAAAAAAAAAAAAAAAAAATCAATTCCTTTGAAGGTCCCGAATAGCAAATGGGAAGGGTAGGTTTTGCTTGTCTTTAATTGTTATTAAAGGGTTGTATTAAGACAAGTCAAACTGCTTGTTACCACCAGAAATTGTAGTCTTCCGTCAGCAGCTCTCACACGTTTTTGCTAAATATTTTAAATGCTAATTGTGACCGGTACATGGCTTTAATTTACAAAAAGTAGGGTATGTCTTTGAAAGAGACTTCTAATTTATTCCAGGCATCTGGACAACTCAGATTAATAAGAAAAATTACTTTCTATTAGATAGTGAAATTCAATCATAAAGACACGAGAAATCAAGACACTTTCTCCCTACCTCAGAAATCTTCCAAAAGAAGGGGTTTGGTGGTGTGAACCCCCTTCCTCCTGTCATCTCTTTGAGCTCCCACTCTCGTAGTGTTCTGGTTTAGTTTGAAGACAGGGAGATAGATTGTCTTTTCAGAATTCATGGAAAAAATGACAGCCGTATATGTCTGAACCCATAACCAGCTACTTAATTTTGCACAGATTTACTCTGTAAGATAAAAAATACCATTCCAAATTCCACTCTCCTCCAACATCACTGGAGACAAATTTACTGCTGTAAATTCTAAAGCATTATTGGGATAAAATTACTATCTTTCCATTCACTTCATTATGCAAATATATATACATACTATATTATGAAACGTATTAATTTAAAAATGTGAGCTACATTGCTTGCCCAATCAAATAATGTTATTACCAGCAAGCAGGAAATAATGACTTAGAGATAATGGAAAGGCTAAGTCAGATGATTAACTCAGGTTTCCTATCACAGGGAAGAGCGTGTGCATGTTCAGATTCTTGTAGTTAACAGCTCTGGATGACACTGAAAGGGATTGAATTATCTGTTGCATGCAAACCCCATCCTTTTATTTTTTAATCCTCAACTCCAAAACCGGCTCATGACCAACACCAATTGGGCACAAAGAAAGCCTTCCCCATGAGCTTTAAACGCATCCAAGTTCCCTCCAGGTTTCCATTACTTCGGCCGGGCGCAGCGGGTACGCGGGAGGTAAAATTGAATGTCTTGCAGGAGGCAGCGGGCCCGGGGAGAGCTCGCTGCAGCGGCTCCTCTGGCAGAGGATGGGGCTCTGCACATCCCTCCGTGCTGGCAGCACGGGAAGGGAGAGAAGGTTTATTATCGTTATTTGCTTATTTATCTGGAATAAGCTTTCTAGGAGACTTAATATCCAAGCTACTATGCTATTTATAATATAAAGCTATCTATGAATTTTTCTGTCAGAATGCATGAGGAGAAGTCCTGGGGATAATGACATTGCGCCTTCTAATTCCCTTTGAAACAAATCTTATTTATATCAAATCAAAGAAGAAAAGTTTAAAAACTTAATCTTTAGAGTCACTACTTATAACAGTTATTTTGAAAAAAGTATTTTTCTTCTTGCTTGATGGCAAGCGTTTTCCATCAAAGGAGAACAGGCATAGCTCGCTGCAAGAGACCCACGGTCCTGTCACAGCCTCCAGTCTCGAAGCTATTGATAGCACAAGTTACAATAAAGTATTACAAATAAGTATTTCCCTAAAATAGGCTGAGAGCTGAGGAAAGAGTTGGGGAAATGTTTGCAAAAAGATGGAGGAAATACTTGCTCTATTTCATAGACAATTTATATTTAAATGCTTGTTTATCAGAAAAAGTAAAAATGGGGTTTACATGTTAATTTTTTCCAGAGTTCTCCTCTATGGCTGACTGATTTATTTTTAAGAAAAATTGTTCTCTTGTGTTTTCCTACATTCTCACTCAGTTTCCCCCCCACTTTCACTACTGTAATTATTCAGATTACTGATTCTGCACATCAAATGTGTTAATATGGGGGAGGAGAAGGGATAAAAAGTTCAATTAGTTAAGCCAGGGTGTAGCAGATCATCATCATTTTTCAAGGTGTCAATTGAGGAGGTCTCAGGGAGTGATGCAGATTGGCTGGGACCACCTGGGAATTCAGTCTCATTTACCATCACAGCATTTGAGAGCACTTGGAAATAAGACTTGTCAGAGTTTAATGTTAAAGCTTCAATAGACACAAAGCATATTTACAGAAGTGTCCTAAAACACTGTTAATTTCCACCCCTGTAATACAGAAATAATCCAGTGAACATAAGAAATGTTCTGACGTTGTGCAGAGAGGGGGTTTGTTGGTGGGCTTTGATAAAATAAGTCGAAGAAAACTAGATATTTTAACAGTAATTAAAACATGGAATACTTCAACTGAAGGAGTAATGGAGGGGAAGCAAGGGAAGCAAATATAATATGAAGCACAGAAAGATAAACATGAATTCTGTGTTTTTTCACTTACATGTCCATCAAGCAAACTCTGAGTTTATGCCCAGCTCAATTTGACATGAAGCCGTACAAATTTCTACTTTGCATCTCTTTACTTTATCTAGCCTGAAATTAGAGAGTCTTGACACTAGTCAATACATTTGCTTGCTCTTAAAAAGCAGTGGTACAGGTATTTCAATACACGTGATTATAGAGTTGAGACGTTTTTAGCTTGTGACTGATGCTAAGCATTCACTCCTTGGGGTGCCACACAGGGAGCTGAGGGACCCTGCTCTTGGGCAAACTTCTCTGGTTTTATTGCGTTATGGACCAGAGAGAGCCAACAATATTTCATCTTAGAGCTATTTCGGCGTATCTGTAGGCTGCAAGCCTCAACATGGCTCCCTTTATGAATTTATTCTGCAGAGATGTGTATTTTTGAATATTTATTTATATTTTTGAAGGCCAGCAGCACATGCGGCCCCAGGTCTGTTGTATGTTATGAGCCATGCCCTTGCTCTCTACCACTGTGTATCCATGACCCCATGCTTGCTGGTTTTACTGGTTTATCATTCATTATTCGGCAGCTGTTTGTCTGTTTGGGTAGCAAATCAGCGCTCTAGGGAGGTGGGGCTGCTCACCTGGGAGGGGGTATAGGGAAGCCCTGGGGAGCTTTGCTGGGGTTTGGGGGGTTCTGTGGAGTGAGAAGGGCTCTGACCAACACCCTGAAGTCATGAGAAGAGGCTTTTCTGGAGCTCTGGAGGCTGCTGGAAGTAGATGGAATTCAGAGAGGAGTGAAGACCTGAAACAGGTAGGGTTGGTTGCTTTTAAAATATATTTCTTCCCTGTAAATATGTATGATCTGTCTTTAGTGAGTTACATCACTCTGTCTCAATACAAGAATTTGGAAGCTTTTTGATGTCTTTTTAGAAAGTTTTGGCTGTATGCTCTAGCGGGCTCTGAATCCCTTCACAGTGACTTTATTTATTTATTTATTTATTTAAAATTAACCCAGTGTAGAAAGATTGATTTTTATATCCTGTGGAGTGCAGTACCCACTGCTGAGGGGCTGGTAGACCAGGGATAAAAGTAGAGTGCTAAACAGCAGCCCCCTGTGTGCTGGTTATTGGTGTTAACTGCCTTCTGCAGGTGATTATATGTCTGGTCTAGAATGCTATATTCAGTATGATTAAGGGAAATAGTTGGTGAGAACCTTTATCTGTCAGATCTGAAATGTCTCCTGGGACAATAAATTTTCTCTAAAGGAAGAATATAGGCAATATTTACTAGTTTAACATCAAGAAACTCTGGTACTGTGCTTGGCGCATAACTCTAGAAGTATTTTTTTTTTTTTTTTCCCTTTGGTTTATGGTTATGGTATGAATATTTTCCGATCCTCCCTTGTAAATAAGGAAGTAACTTGCTTTTTTTTAAAAAATGTTCTTGTGAATTCATATTTCATGTGTAATAATGGCTTGAATCTGAAAAATATGGGGAAGAAATGAGACTCCAGACTGAATGTTTTTACTGCTAGTTATTCATCAGTGAGTAGAGTAATTAACTGTATGATCAGTGTGGGATTCTTGCCTCTCTTCAGACACAGAAGACTTCTGCTGAACTTAGTGGAGACACAGTTAATTATATCAATATATTGGCAGATGACTGGCCTCAAGTTTCTCTTTCCTGAACTCTGGCTTTACTAAAGTCCAAGAGGGAGAATAAATTTCGCAGCACTATGGTTTGTCTCCGCACTGGGCTTGTTCTTATCCCTACTTAGAGGTGCTCAGCATTAAATCCTGGGGTACCTTCCTTAGAAATTTGTTTTCAGTCCTGATTATTTAATATCTTTGAGATCAACTGCTGCTTGCAGGTGAATGCCGGAGTGTAGGACCTGGATGTCAGCCCAGTGCATCCAGCACTGTGGGACTGGTTGGGTGTATTGGATTGAATACGAGAATTCATATTCCACGTTTCCTCAAAGTTCACTTTGAAATGTTATTGAATCAGCTGGGTTAGAAGCAAAGCTGCTTTTCAATAGGTACTTTGTAATGCAATTTCTAACATTTGTCACTCCAAATACCTGAAAACTAGAAGCACTGTTGGGTAGCAGGCAGAAGCTGGTGCCTCCATCACTGCTGCTGTGTGATACTCGGTTATGTGCCTCTTTGGATTATGTTTATCTGGTGATTGGTAACGAGGTGTTCCTGCCTTTTTAAGGGCTGTGGGTTTTCTCAGATATTACACTTTTTATGAAAGCCTATTTAATTAGTAGATCACTTTCTGATTTTGGCATTTCACCTGTCTGGGTTGTGCTGTGTCTGTGTCTGCATCAAACTCCATGAGCATGTAAGGGGACATGTAAAAACCGGCAGTTCTGGTGATGCAGCATCGGGTTTGTGGATATTCTGCATGTGGAGACAGCAAAAACGCCGGAGTGAAGCAGCGGTGGCTGGTGGTGACCGAGGGGCTGTGTGTGCTCTCCTGGACAAATGAGTGGTTTGCACAGGCACCAGCCTCCCACCTCCTTTTGTAAAGCACTGGAGCCAAACCACACAACTGGTTCAGTTCCTTCCTCCTCTGGCGAGCTGGAAGGTTATTTCAGAGCTTAATTGTTCTGCTTTAGAAACCTTGATTTTTCAACCTTGTGTTTTAGCTGGCTTACTTCATCTTTTTTCTACATTTGTCTTGTAGATAACTATTTATTCTCTCTTCCTTATTTGTTTACTGGCTCAAAATCTAGGTAATTTTCTAGGCTAAATAAGAAATTTTGTTTTAATGTCATCTTCGGTTCTCACTTCTTGATCATCCACACAGTTCTTTGCAATACGTGTATACATTGTAATTTGTCTTTCTTGAGCAAAGATGTTCAAATTATACATGGTATTGAAAATCGAGTTCTTTGTGTTTCTGTTGGAAAAAAGATACATAATAATATTTATCTTTTTAAATTTCAAATTCCCATTCTACATAATGCATACTTGGTTTCCTCTTCTTTTAATTTGAAATGATGAGTTTCTGATATGTAACAAAATTCCTGTTGTTGCTTCCACAGAGCATCATTTTTCACTTAACCATAGCTGTGTTTCTACGTCTCCACACATACTGGTAAAATCGAGTCATTCTGTGACTCGGCATCACATAATTCCTTCCAGTGGTATCTGATACTCCCCAGCGAACGAGACCTCCTGACTTCTATTAGCTAATTTAATTAATATATTCAGGTTGGTACCAAATAAAAATGAATTAGGAGTTCAAAACAATCTGTTATAAGGCTGATACTTCAAGAATTTAGTTAATAACCTTCATGCAGCTTGAGGACTATCGCCTCCTTTTTCCTTACCACTACCTTACCTACCTAAAGTTCTTTTTCTAATCCCTGTCTATTCCTCTTGAATTCACAGTTTCCATATTGAATATTCTACTGAAATCCAGATAGAATAGATTACTTAACAGTAATCATAACATTGGGGCGGTTAGATGTGGAAAACTTCTATTTTTGTTTAATATTGTACAATAAATATATCCATTACTGTTTTTCAAGGAACTGCTTGTTTCAGTCTTGATTACAAGAAGGCTCCCAGGTAGCTAGGTACCTACACAAATGTAAGCAAGGCAAGCTAGAATTCTCTGATAAAGAAGTTTGAATTGTTTTATTTTGGCTTGGAGAATAATATTCTAATTGGCTTTGAGGAAAATAGAACTTCTGCTCTTTCTTGATACTAGGCTGTTGTGCTGCGAGGAGAAAAACTTGTTGCATTTAGTATGATTCTCTTCAGTAATATATGTAAGGAAGTCTGCAACAGCACAGCTGCTTATAGGATAAGGTCTGGTAAATATTCTGATGTGAGGCTGATGAGTAGTTATGATTTAGACTATAGAGAGTTACAAGAACAAGTAATGTGTTTTTTTTTTTTTTTTTTTTTCTCTCTCTTGATTTCCTAATTTGTCAGAAGACAGATGTGCTAGATTTGGACAGATTCTTGCAAACAAGTAAATAAGGGATATTTCACAAACTGGTAACAGCCTTTGAGTAGCTCTTAAATCTGAGAAGCACAGCTTTGCCCCGGCTTTATTTGTAGCAGAGACTGATGCCATCACTGACTTTACGTTAGACCTGCTGCCTGTGAGGATCTGTTTCAGAAAATATCTTCTAGTATTTGTCAAAGTGGAAAAAAGAAAAGAAAAAAACAAACAAACAACAACAACAAAAAACGCTCTAACAAACTTTTAAACTTTTTGTCCTGTTGGCAAAATGCAGCTGGCGAGCTGTGACAGTGCAGGAGTTTCTCGCCCTTTTAGGGGGGAGGCTCCTGGATGCTGCGGGGCTGACCATCCTCCCGGGAAGGAGCTGCCTGTGGTGGGGCAATAAACGAGCTGTGCTGTGGATGTGCCCTCTGACAACATTGCCTGCCGTTTCCATGTGAGGACTGAGGAGGGTTTTTCCCCCCGGAGATTTCCTATGTTTTGGGTTTTGTTTGGTGGTTTTGTTTTGTGGGGTTTTTTGTTTGTTTTGGTTTGTGTGGTTTGTGTTTTTTTTTTTTGTAGACAAAGCAATTATTGCCCCTCCTAAATGGAACTGATGCAGGTTGAACAAAATCCACTTGTGGACCCTAGGAAAAAGTTTTTATGTTGCTTTCCCAACATACCTGGTACTCAGCCAGATATTTAAACACTGTTTTGGTGACAACTGCTGCTTGAAATAAGGAAACAAGCCCCTGCCAAGTGACATAGTCAGCGTTGTGGTCGCAGCGTGTTCTGCTGATCACCCCACTTCTTCTCCAGGGGGTATTTTGGACCTCAGAGAATGTCCTCATGAAGGGCTATTGAAAAATACAGATGGATGCCAGGAAAGCATCACCTCTTCCTGTGCTTCTGTTTGGGTGCTAAGCCCCTTGGTTCCCTCTGTCTCGAAGCCACCGATGGGTAGAAGCTGTCTTGGCTGCGAAGGAGGAGGGGGAAACCATGAGCTTGTCTGCTGTCAGTGACAGCACTGGAAAACAGTCCTGCAGCCAGCTCTGGCTGGTCCTGGGGCTGGAGAGCTGAAGGGAGGGAGGTGAGAGCTGGCTATGGCACAGGAGTGGACAGAGGACCACATGGGAAGAAAGAAACTTTTGGTTTTTTCCCCATGCTTTTAAGGAACAGTGCTGATTTTGCTAATTTTCCAGAAGCAAAGAAGCCAAATCTGTTTGGGGTACTGGAAAGCTCATGTTTTGTAAACATCTTGCATTTCTCTCTTTTTTTGCACATTTGCTACCCAGTTATTCCATGAGCTTTCAACACTATGAACTCACTCAGAAAAGTGGAAATCTGTGGATCTTGCATTTACTAAGGTGGATGTTTGTGGCTATGTTGCATCAATCCCAAAAAATGTTTTACTCAGATTATGCTCCTGCATGATGTACGCTTTTGGTGGTATGAAGAAACATTCTGGCCTGCGACTCAGGCTGACCAACTCTGCTCTGCTTCATCTGCAACAAGCTGCATTGTCCATGTATTTATTTACTGACAGACTGCATGGTAATTTTTCTCCTTTAATATTATGTTGTCTAATTGCAGTTAATTGTGGTTCTTAATCTTGCTAATTACTGTAAATCATGCTCTGCCAGACATCCTTTCTTTCAATGGCAATAAGGCTGTGTTTTTTTTCTTGGAAGGTGCATGTAGTTTAATAAAAGTGTCTCAATAATGAAGATTTATTGGTGAAGGCTATCGAGGACTGTGTGGCTGTATAGGAATGCAACATACTGGGTTACAAAAAGAGAATAGAAGAGTCAGAGCCTGTAAAACACTTTATAGATGTGAGTGGCAGTCAGTATAACTTTAATTTTATGTCTAAACTAAGGTGGCTAAATGTAAGACCTTTAATTAAAACCATTAGAAGCCTGTAATGTTGCTGGCATACTGTTTGACAGGTGGAACATTACCTCCAAGCAATTAGCATTGCAAGCACAGCGTACTGGCATCTCCGTGGTCCTCCCGTGGGAGTGTAATCTTTTAATACTTTTCATACAGAAGGCTTTTGATTTCGCATCTAATCAGTTGGTCAGATCATCATATTCTATTAATGTGTATAAATCTGGTCAAATTAGGTTCAAAATTTTACGTTAAACATCGGTCTGTGTAAGATTTGACCCGCTAAAGGTTTCTTACAGGGTTTAGAATTGGAACGTTATCTGCATGGATATTTTTGTACTTTCATGTCAGTGTTGGTGGGAGAACTGGCTATGAGGTTTCAGATAATTCCCATGAAGTAGAAAACATTTGTGTTTAGAGGAGATATTTAACTGGCACACTCTGCAGAATGCAGATTTACAGTTTGTCCTTAGTAAGAAGAACAGAAAGAATTGAGAAGTCACCAAAAATAGACTCTTTGAGACTGTGATCATAAAAATTAACAAGGAATAGGACTTGTAAGAAGATGACTGAAATTGATTTTTGATAATTAAAAATGGGTGCATAAAATGCTGGAGTGGTAATTCTTATCATTAATATTCCAGGTTACCGGCTGAGAACTCTCAGCTCAGGCATCACCGGCTCCTGGTGACATGGTTTTATTCCACTCTGTCCCTGTGCTCTCCTCCTGCAGCCTATAAATAGCTGCTAACGACAACCTGCTTTCGCTCCTCTTTGCTCCTCTCCTACTTGTTAATAACAACTGCATGTCGAAGCCAACCAAGTAATCAAGGGAAAAAATATATTAGGCTCTCCATCTGATGTGTCATTTTAGAAGGAAATGTTTAATAATGAATTAACATCTAATATTCAGTCTTCTGCAATGCTAATTGCATATGTATTTGTGTTAGCAATTACTTAGCAGAGCCGTAAAGGGCACGTTGGCACAGTTCACGGGTTGCTTTCTGAGCGTGCGGCGGCATCGTTTAAAAGTTCACAATGGTATCGCTTGTAAAACAGCGTTATTCTTGGCAGCGCCGTCGCCATGCTTGGCGGCATCCCCCCTGCCAGTCCTCCGGGGCTGTGCGTGTCCTGCAGCATCCGCGGCTTGCCCTGCGTGTCACTGCAGAGTCAGTGATAGAGTCCTGGTTATTCTGAGAGGAGTCAGCAGGCCAGGGGTTGTTTTACTCTCCCTGGGGTGAAAAGGAGAAATACAGCAGCTGTTTTGAACTCGCTGAATGCACCCAAGGCAAAATTTTTCACCCGTACAGCCTTGTGCCTGGATGACTCTTGAAAACCCCATGAGAACCGCCTTTTTTTAATCTATCTTGAGGAGACCCAAGAGATGTCCTGACAGATTTTAAAGCCACTGCAGGATTGTTAAGGCTCCGTGCAGATTTTTCTGGACATAGCCCCTACTTGAAGCACTTTAAGTTCACCGTAAGGCTGTATGGCGTGATCTGCCTCACTCTGTTTAATATTTCATATTCCTAATGTATCTCTGCAGAATCTCTGTTGCGTGCTGTACTCACTGAGCAGCTTAGCCCAGAGCGGTCTGCGTGTCGACGTGTGGGGGTGTTCCTCAGTGGCAGAATTCTTGACAGCACCTGTAAAAGCAGTGAAGAAATACTACACAAAGCGCATGGTTCCCATTTGATGTCCCTTCTCAAAGGCAATCCGCACATCCCCAGACCGACTCTCAAGGAATTGTATGCAGGTTTCTAGAGTTCTCAAGAAATTCACTCATGAAGTGGTTTAATCAAATGAAGGGGCTTGAACATTAGTTATGAGCAATCCAAAAATCTAATAAGATCCCCAAAAATATATTTTTGAAACTTGAAAATTAAGTAATCTGTCAAAACTCACAGTTGTCTTCTGCATATTTGAGAAATAGAAACAGGTGAAGTTTTAAGAGCTACTATTTTCCTTTCTGTATTATGGTGATTTTAGTTCCTTCAGGAGAGAGCCATGTCCAACCCAAACCTTTGCTTCCCAGTGAGTGAATTTATTTTGCTCTTTTCTGCCTTTTGGATTTGCTTGTTCCCGCGTGCCCCTGTTTGTGTACCCAAATGTGTTCTACTTTAGCCTGATTTGCTTTGGGCAAATGTTTTTGTTCACTGCATAAATAACCAGAGGTACAGGAAGTTAACTCCAATTCTTGTTGGAGATGTGATTGCCTTGCCTAGCCAGGTGATAAAGATTGACGGGGGCACTGACATTTTGGTAATGTGTCTT